GACAAAACCTTGTCGAAACGTTGTACATTTGCTGTCATGTTAAACTTATATTAAAGTTTTTTTCATTACCCATTTAAGCCGTCTCCAGCCATTATTATATTTGTTCTCTGCAGACACTTTCTGTATGATCTCTATCCTCACCGGCTACTCCACCTTCACAATGTAAGATTCTTGCTATTAGTGTCAGCGGAGGTATGTATGTTTTGAAAGTTATCATTTTCCTAAACTGAAAATCTATTTCCAAACGTACTTACCTCTTCTGACACTCCCTCCCTTCCTCCCCACTAAGAGCTGGTGTTAGTGACTTGAATGTGGTAAGTTTCGAAAAATTGATTTTATCGTCTACATACAGTGCTTATAAACAGTACCTGCATAGAGGGCGTGTGAGGGTCGTTATAACATTTTGCAAATTAGATATTGCTGGGGGCAGTCGAGTGGTGTATATAAAGACTGGAGCAAGCAAATACAACATTAGATGGCAAAGATGAAGATCAAGAAATAGGTATTAGTGTCAGTGGAGGTAAGTATGTTTGGAAATACATTTTCAGTTTAGGAAAATGATAACTTTCCTGTTATCAAAACTTCCTTAGTGGCTCAGTGGTAAGTCTGAAGGCTTATAACACTTAAAAACTGGGTTTTGATACCTATAGTAGGAACAGCACATTTAACCTATTGTATAAATTTGTCTTTAACAGTAAAACAAACAAACAAAACTCATTATCAAAACAACTATCTTTTATGGAAGTAATTCTTTTATGAAGTTTCTCATTCTTCTTTTTTTTAAGACAAAATTCAAGGTTCTGTGCAGAGATCTTCATTGACATGAAGAAGGCCTAACATAGAACCCTAAATATTGTCTCAGGAAGAAAGGAAAATTTTACAAAGGGAAGCCTGTAGAAAGAACTACTTTCAAATGAATACATTAAAAAAAAACAACTGTTAAAGTAGTAATCATATACAGAGGTTCACTGTAGTGAGTAAAACATAAATAAAAACATTATACGTAAAAACTATGATTTTTGCATATATTTTAACTAATCAGTTTATATTGTCCCCATTGTGTGTTAGGGGTAAGTTTACAGGCATACACCACAAATTCCAGGGTTCAGTTCCCTACAATAGACAGAGTGCAGATAACTTGTTGTGTAGCTTTATGCTAAAAAAAAAGAAACAACAAACAGTTTATATTTTGCCAGATATTAATTTTTTTAAGCATTATACATTTCCATTTATCAAAAATGTTTTGGGTTAATGAAAAGAGTAAGAATTTATTGATATAAATTTATCATAATGCATTTAAACAGAATTTTATTATGATGCATGTAGGAATATTTTGAAGAAACCATGATGATTAACCTATGATGCACATATGGACAAGTAAGAATAGAAGTTACATAACATATAGGTTAGTTATTATATGTGGGGCTCTATAACTTTCATTACAGTAAGTTAACATATTATGAATTATTATTTTCAAATCAAAGAGCCCAAAAATCTTCATTGCATATGAATCCAACCAATCTCATTTTAGCCTTGATGCCAAGTGTAATAGGTTTTTGGTATACAGGGTGATTATTAAAAAAGTTTCGCAGCTCAGCACATCATATCTCACAAATATTATAGCGTAGAAATATGAAATTTCACAGGGGTTCTAAGGGAATCATGTGGATGCAAATACCACAATTATCACATGTTTTGCATATTTCCCAGGGGTATAAATGGACCTGTTGATCACAGTGTAGCAATTCAACCAACATGAACCTAAAAAGTTTGTAGAGAGATGGACTACTGAGATGTTATTACGCCAAAGCAGCTGTCAGGAAATACCATAAATGCATAATATTTGCAGAGGGCTTTTTTCCAGTTTTTTCTGTATAAAGTTCATAAAATATCTTGAGGACACATGTTGCACTTGTGACCAACTACTAACAGTCAGGCTGCTAACATGTATTGAAAGTATTGCTAAAGTCAGACATGTCATAGCAGAACAAGTTATTACAAGCACACATTGGTACAGCAGTGCATGTTACTCAACCTAGTGTCTGAATTTGTCAATTTTCACTGTTTATAAGGCCTTTGGTTAACTTTAGGAATGTTTCCTTAAAAAAACTGCCTCATGTTCAAGCACTGAAGATGACATGTTATCTTACATTGCAGTTCTTGACAAGACTGGAAGATGATGATCAATAGACTGCCAATATCTTACGGACTGATGAAGCACACTTCACCTTTTCTGGAAGTGTCAGCACATGCAACTGTATTGTCTGGTTAGAAACAAATTCACATGTCACATTTTCTACACACCTCTATAATGCTAAGATGGCAGTCTGGTGTGATTTCATAGCTGAAATTTTTATTGGACAATACTTTTTAAAGAACCATAAGCACATGGACGGTAAAACTGTACAGTCAATGCTGCAAGGTACTATGCAATGCTCAAAGCCTTTGTGATCTCATTGCTTCACCAGTGAAATTTTCATAGACACTAAAGTTTTCATGCAAGATGGTGCCTCTCTGCAAATTGGTCTTCAAGTGTGAAACAAGTCTTTTGGGAACACTTTCAGGCAGAATCATTTTAAATTACTTTCTTTTTGAATTAGCCACCTCATTCATTGGACCTAATACCAGCCACTTTCTGGTTTTGAGGGAACCTGAAGTCATGCATGTATCATGGGAAACCTTGCAACTGTCATGAAATTGTTCAGCATACTAGATGAGATGTGCATTGTTGCCATAATGTCCATTGTCAAAAAGATGATACATTCTGGATGCTGGAAGAGCACATTTTGAACAGTTGTTGTGATTAATGAGATCTTACATTACAGTGATGCCTCTTGATAATGACAACTGTGGTACTTGCATCCACATAATACATTTAACCCTTTTGCCTTGAGAACATACGCAAAGTATGATGTGTATTTAAAAAATGTTTAAACCTTTTAATTATGAATTTTAAAACGTAACTAATACATAATTAATCAAAATATAATAGTAGGACCTAAATACAGTTTAAACGTTATCTCTAACTATAACATATTTAGGTAAGAAACAACCATAAGTGCTATAGTTGATCAAGCAGCCAACAATACTATAGTCAGTTTCATATACTCTGTCACAAAGACTTGGCACCAATTTCAAAATAACAGTTGTCAGTTTATGCAGTAAAATGATCTCTTTCTAATTGTTATATACACATTGTATGTAACATCTACGTGGAAGGGATAAAGCTCAAACAAATCTGTTAAAGGTGGGCATGGCAGCTGTCAGGGGTTTAAATAATTTATTACTTGTTTTAACTGTATTCATTCAGAGTTCTTTGAAAGGAACGAGTCAAGAGGTAATGTAAGCATCTTAGTGGCTAGACATACCTCTACTCTATTACCATTGTATTATTGAAGATACAGAGAGCCAAGGTAGAGATTTTTCATGGCTCGTTGGTCACATGACAATACATCCGAAATTTTAAGCAGTTTTTGAAGGTTTATTTAGTAATAAAGGACTCCAAACTTGGATAAAATAAAACTTTGAATCATAGTACACATTACAATATTAAATTCATTCACATACATTGATATTAAAGGTGTTTAATTAAATTTTGTAAGGGACTTCTGTTGCGAAAGTGTTAACACCCTGTGCAATTTCAGTTTCCTATGCCTTACTGTTTTTAAGACAAGATGCATTGAACTGCAAAACTTTATTTATAATCATTAGAGCTGGGTGATTAGTGGAAATTGAAAGCTGATTAATTATCAAGCTCATTAATTACATTCAACTAATCAATTATTCTTACATGAAACTTAGAATAATAAAATATAATAATAATCAAAAACAGTAGTTTTGACTTCTTGATTATTATCATGAGCCATGACCAGTGTTTCCTCTAAGCTGCACAACAACCAGTTAAGTGCCATGAACATCCTCAGTAATGGTGAGGAATCTCAACACATTAACGGTCTTAATGACCCTGGTAGTCAATAGGCCTAAAGCCCAAATAACCAACTGGTAGCACTGAATAGTGGTCTAATGATTCTGTAGAGTCAGTGGTCAAACACTACCACGCATCTGCACATTGCTTTGATACTGGTGAAATGAAAAAAAATTTTTCACACACGAATTGAAAAATTTAAAGGGAACATTGGCCCCGACACTAACTGATTAAACTGAACAACCTTGAATTAATAAAAAAAAGTGATAAAAAATCTTGAATAGTTGGAATAATTGAAAACTAATTTTAATTAGTTGATTATTTTCATGAGATTAATTGATTTAATCATAATTTCAATTAATCAGTTATTTAATGGGATACTAATTGATATAATCAATGCTCATAAGTAATCAATTAATCAGTGTAGCAGACTAGCTAATAATCACCATGTATTTTAACTGATAATATTGATGGAGCACGTTCAGTCATTTAAGTTGATTTCGATCAAGAATATTGTTAAAAAAAATATTATTATTATATAGTCTGACCAGACATCATTTCGAAAGGTCAAGTACTAGGTCACCAGTAAATCTTTACAGTTTTTACATGTTTATTTTATGATTTGTAGCTGGAAGGAAGTGATGGCTACTGCACTTGGCAAAATAAAATATAAAACAAAATGTGTTATAAATACCAAGCAAGTTGAAACTGATTACATACATGAAATGGAACTTTCTGATTAATATTAGAAAATCGTAATTACAAAATTAAAGGAAGTATCTTGAATGTTTTTCAAAGCATCCCAACAAAAGTTCACAAAATAAAAATGTTAGAAAAATTAAATCAGATTATAGTAATTTTTTTAAGCTGAAACTAGATACTATTTACTAGGCTTGTTCTAAGTTTATTACACTGTGAAAAGGAAATAAGCAAGGAATATCAGTGACAGACATAAGTAATTGTTACAACTTTATGTTTATGATTATTGAATTAAGGTGGAATGTGTTATTAGTATAATCTATAAACTGTACTTTTTTATAATACTTTTTTTTTCATATTTATGATGTGAAAAAGCTAGGTGAGAAAAACTTGATTTTGGTTTTATCTTTTTTTCTTCTAGGTCAGCTATCAATATTGAAAGAACAACACAGAGTTATGCTACAGGATGCAGATCAACTACGAGAAAAGGATGTAATTGTTTTTATTTAATGGCTAATTAACCAGATTTATACTTTAGAAGAATATTATATTTGATAAGAACAAATAAATTTTGTAGTGATATATTGCAGCTGTATAAATGTTGTTTGTTTTCAAATACCAATGAAGTGTTTAGGTTTCAGTTGGTGAAAGAAATGAGCTTTACATTGATGACAGTTGTACATTTATAATGATTCCTTGAGTTATTTTAACTATTTTGTTTCCTTTGATGTAAGAGGCATTTGTAATGTATGTGTCAGAAGAATGCTACATGAGTAAGGGTTCTTTGAATCATTTTATCCGTTTTACTTCCTTTGATGTAAAAGACATTTGTAATATGTGTGACAGAATAAAGCTACATATGTAATGGTTCCTTGAGGTATTTTAACCATTTTGTTTCCTTTGATGTAAAAGACATTTGTAATATGTGTGACAGAATAAAGCTACATATGTAATGGTTCCTTGAGGTATTTTAACCATTTTGTTTCCTTTGATGTAAAAGACATTTGTAATATGTGTGACAGAATAATGCTACATGTGTAATGGTTCTTTGAGTCATTTTAACTGTTTTTTGTTTTTGTTTTTTTTTCAATCGGTGTGAAACCATTTGTAATGCAGTCACAGAAAAATGCTTAACATGTAATGGTAATTAGGAATGTTTAATCCTTTTTTATTTGTACAGCTATTGAAAGTAAGGACTGAGGCTGAGGCTATGGAGAGCAGCTTAAGAGAGCATATTAAGAAGCTTACATCACAGAGAACATCTTTGGAAGAGGTAAGATTTGGATAATATCAGATACTATAAAGCTTGTGAAATAGAATATTTTGAATTTGTGTAATCAACTTGTGTCAGTTTAATTTTTAAATAACTATTTGAAAGGTAGACACTTCTTTTCAGTTTCACATTTTTTTATTAGTTTCACACCTCATTAATTACCTTTATAATTATTAATATTGAAGGAAACCCAGTTACCTATGAAAAAAACTCCAAGCAAGATAATAGAAAAATCAAACCACCTTAATGACACTTATAGATAACTAACTATATAACTTTCAAGTTACAATATTTCAAATCACGTAAAGTTAAATATCAATGTATTACAATAAGGTTTACAAGTACACTGTATTTTAACTGCATTTCCAGTATTTTCCTGAATTCATACTAGTTTACTAATACTTATCTGTAATATATTATTTTACAAATGTTCTCAGGAAGTTGGAAAGTTAAACACTCAAATAATGGCAGAACGAAGTAAAGCTGAGGATCAATTGGCTTTGCAAAAACTCCACTGGAAGGCGGAAGAGGTATGTGTACATAAATGATTTTTTTATTCAAACATGCACAAATTTACTCTTTCATCAAATAACTTGCATGAAAATGAAATGTACTTTCTAGTATCTAGACTTGTGTTTTTATTCTATTGTTTCTTTGTTTTGTAATGTATTAACCCATAAACTGCTGCAGGAGCAGCTCAGTTGCCGTTTTCTGACTCACAGATAAAACTGAGTTGCCATCAATCACAATAAAACGGTAATTATCATCATTCGCATAGAGTTATAGTTATATATGTGCAACTGATGGATATTTCCATCATTCACAGCTGAGCCATAGAACTTCAATGATGGAAATATCTGTCATCCGCAGTTAATAGGTTAATTTAGTCTATATTTTATACTCATGTCTTTTTGTATGTTTGTTTCTCTTCTTATGTTCTAGCCAAATTATGGCAATGGCTCTACTAAATTTAGTGTTTTTGACTGATAATCGTGTGTAACCTTATTTAAGGTTGGTGTTTTTTGTCAGGTATGTGATTGTAAACTAAGACAGTATTTTCAACTCTGCTTGTAAGCTTAATTACCAGTATCAAGATATGCTGTAATCCAGTTTTGTTTGTTTTTCAAGTTCATTTTGTAAATCATTTAAAATTTACAAAAAAAAGTGAAGAGTTATTATAAGACCAAATTATAACATTTTACAACAGTTGCTTCTAACTGTCCTGACTAAATTAGTGATGGCATTATTTGATACAAAAGTTTAAGAAAGATAGCAAGTATATGAAAGTGTTCAAAAGGATTAGATGAACTGGAAAAAAACAGACAACTGATTCTTATTTCCTTTAACTATGGCTAGATCAGGTGTAGAAGACTCAAATAGATACCTTTGTCATGTATGTCAGTGAGACATTTCATATCTTTTGTTATTTGGTTCATGATCCTATGATGGAAGAGATTTATACATTATCTCTAAAGAATTTTGGTCCAAGCTTTTCTCTGTTCCTATCTTTAATTGACTTATTTAAAAAGTCCATTACTTATGGTGCCAGGTTTTCATGGCAACTCACTTAACACTTTTATTCCTGTACCAAAAATTTTGTGTTTTGAGATCCAACCTCATAATTGGCTGAACTTTCTTGTGAATTTTTTACCAGGGATGTATATCAAGCCAAGTAAAAGGTCTTCTGTCACTATTGGAGTCATGTAAATGACATTTCTTCAATTAATGTTTGAGGATTTAGACTCTGTGTTTAACATTAATGTCAACTCACTGTTTCTTACTGTGCTGTTCAGTTGGCATGTACAGTAATTCAAGAATAAACCTAACACACACTTCCTGATATACACAACCTAGTTCGAGAACCTAGTTTGTAATTTTTTTGTTGGGGGAATGAAGGAGACAAAACTCAGTGTGAAGTTGAAACAAAAATAAACAGTTTATTTTTCAGAGAAAACAGAAGAATGAACAATCTTACACAATGAAGACTATTGCATTGTGACGCATTCAGTGGAAATGTAAAATAAACCATATTTAAGGGTGAATCAGCAAAAGTAATGGATGAAAGATTAATGAAACATGAACAGCAAATCTTACTTCTTCAAGTCAGAAACAAGTCTGAAAATGCCAAAATTGCTTTAACATTTCACTTTCTCCTCGTAGCTGACTAACCATAAATTGGACCACAAGAATCTGGAACTTTCTCTGCTTCATGTAACAGTTGTAAAGTAGTCCTTTATACATAAAGTAAAGTAGAATGCAATACAACTATCACATGAAACAGTACATAACTTTTACGAATGGTCTCTGCTTCAGATAGTAATACCTTAGGCTGAACTAAGCACATGATCTCAAACATATTTATTATTGTTACAGATTCAAACTAATATTATGGTCGAATTATATTGATAGTATTTGCACACAGGGGGTCTCGGGCCTTTTTTTTAGAAATTTTCAAGATTTCAAAGTATATAACCTTATTTAATCACCAAAGTTTCAAACTAAGATATTAATCTCTTCCTTAAAACTATTTTCTTTCCTTTGAACTTCTGTTGTTGATTGTTTTGTGCTATTTCTTTTAGAATATACCTTTTTGCTTCAAGGTTTTGATATATATCAGTGATGTAGATGTTTCCATACTCTATTGGTTATCACTTCCTGATTGTTCCATTCTCTCGAAGATGTGGATTGCTTGATTATTTGTTTGATATTATCTTTGGGACAGAATTAGTTGGATTCTAACAAACTTTTCTGCCTTTTCTTTGCGATTGGATTCTAATGTGTTCATGCTGGCTTTCATCTTTTGAACCCTAGAACCCTTTGATGGGGATTCCTGTAGGTTCTGAGACAACTTCCCAGGTATGATTCTGCCTTTGCAGCTTACATTCTCTGTGATATAAAAAGCTATCCATTTATTTGCCATGTCTAGCAACCCATGAAGAGGAGAAGAGGATTCTGATGGTTGAATGGTACCTGGGTCATTGCAATACACCAATTTGGCCTTGAATTCTTGTACATGGGAAGCTCTAGTGTGACTCTCTCAGGGTCATTCAGTTGATTATGTGTGGTTATGGTCAAGTAAGTGCCAGTATTGGATGTCCTCAGCAGGTGTTGTGGACAGTATTTCTGTTACAGGTGTTTAAGTATAGTACTTATGAAACCATAGCATTCCTACACTATCCTTTTGAGTTGTTGATAGTGGGCACTAAATGTTTTTAAATTGTCTTTATAGGTTTTCAAACAAAAACAATAAACGACCATATACAGAAGACTATAAGCACACATTTACTGCCTCCTATTATACCAATAGGCCCGGCATGGCCAGGTGGTTAGGGCGCTCGACTCGTAATCTGAGGGTCGCGGGTTCGAATCCCCGTCACACCAAACATGCCAATCTCCACCTTTGCCTGGTCCCTAGTCCAGGATGAGAAAGGGGGAGGGTTGGGCACGGGGCTAGCAACTCCACCCCGTAAAAACCAACCTGCTACAAGTAACTGCAACAACACCTTCCGTTGGCGAAGTGTTGTTGCGGCCCTATGCTCCACTGGGAGTTTACAGGAAAAAAATAACCAAAATTATTCCAATACAATATTTTCCAATTTTTTCATTATGAGAAACAGTTTTTTTAAAATGTCCCTCTTTTTCATCCTAAAGGGCTTGGTGATGTTTGCCACATTTCAAGCTGATAAAAGGAATTAAGATTTGGAGACCTACTGGTTGAAACATTACAAACACAGGACAGTCAAAGGTTACTGGCAACATACTTATTGAGGTAATTCCACACAGTACTTTTAATTCCTAAAGAGGAGTTAGTGTCTGGAGGGATCTCATTAACATATCTAAGTTGGATATTCTTGCTGTTCTTTCCAGTCAAGGAGTATCGGATGTGAGGCAAATCTCCACTCAAAAAATTAGAACTGAGCTGACTAGGGCACTAATTTCTACAGTTACATCTCCTCAGTTAGCAGCCAGTGTCAAAGCAAGTTTTCTGAACTGCAAAGTAAGGCCATACATTCCAAAACATCTTGTTTTGGTTCTTTAACCTGTGCTCATTGTGGTGGCAAAGACCAAGATAGCTATGAGTGTCTGTTAGAGCCATGTTATGTTAACTGATCTCTCTCCAACCCCTCATACTTTTAATCATGTCCAATGTGGATTGAAGAAAGAAAGTACAATAAATAAAGACCTTGTATCATATATTCTATGTTAGTAGTTCTCTTGTCATATTCTGACCATCTTGTATTTTCCTTCACGTAAGAAAACTAAAGTAATGATCCTGTTGTTTTTGAGCTATTCCCTTGTTCCAGTTGCTGTACCTTGTATATTGATTATTAGAACCACTTATTTCCTTTTTCATCTGTCTTTTAAATAAATTGCACTGCTTCATATTCTCTCTCACTCCTATGTTTTTAATTCTAAGACTTGTGTTGTGTTTAAGTAAGATTGTGTTTATATACTATATTTTTTCATTAAAAAGTGTTCTAAAAATGTATTTGACTTGCATTTTGATCCTCAGCCCCATTGTTGCTTAAATAAGTTTTGAAACAAAAATGGCTTGATGAATCATTTATAATTCTAATTTGTATGTGGATGACCTTGAGTGGTTACTGAATGTCAAAAATGAAGAATAAATCATAATTTTGAAGATACCTTGTAGTTTGAAGTTTGTGACATTAGATTTTTAATGTAGTTTGTTTTTATCTCATTGTTTTTATAAAAATGTTGTATTATCTTTTAAAATCCCAGAGCAGTTATTCCCAAAATTTTATATCAATATTTTTTGGAGTGTTATGTAGCAATATTATAACATGTTTTTATAACAAACTTGCATGATGTGTATGCAATTATTTTTCTTCAGGGACAGCGTGTAAGTTGGCTTGAAGAAAAAGTGAAAATGATAGAAGAAGCAAAAGAAAATCAAGAGGTATGTAACACCTAGCTTCTTAAAAATATTGGGCAGGCTCTTCTACAATTTATTTTTTTTTTTTTTGTAGAAATATAATGATAGTAAAATTCTTCAACCTACAAGACAAAAATAAATGTGGATATTTGATTTCACATAACAAGAGCATGAAAGAACTTAAACCCAAAGTGGGTCTGACTTCTATTTATTTTTATTTAATTAATTATTTTATTCTCCAAACTTTTCTAGACCATTTTATGTTTACTACTTAATCACTGCTATTACTATTATAGCATCCAAACTTCTATGTTTTCCACTTCTCTAGCTCTTCTTTATCTCAGCTTGCTAGCTTTGATTAAGAAATGATGATTCCGCAATCAATTTGTTCAGTTATATTTCAGAATAATAAAAGAGACAAGTATCTGAATAAAAATGAACAGAATGTTAATCAAATTTATTGATTTTCTTCCTTGAGATGTTAAAAAATACATGAAGGAACAAGGTCTGTTTCAAAATCTCTCTCACAAATAGATTTATTAAAAAAAAAGTGTGCTGAAGTAACAGAATAATTTTTTACTCATACATATTTTTATAGTAGTAATATTCAAATGTCATATCATAAGAAAAATACAAAAGTAGTCGTTTGAAACCTTTAGCTTTATTAACATGAAGTTATTAACGAATTAATCAGATTTGCATAAAAATCTTTTTGTAGATTTTTATATATTTTATAGATATTTTGCCAAATAGTACAGTGCACTTTTAAGTGATGAAAGACTTATTTTGTAATTGCATCTTTGAAAAGACTTATTTTGTAATTGCATCTTTGGATTTATTAATATCTTCAGAAAGCACAATCAAAGAATTTCTCACTGATATACTTCTTCTTATCTTGTATGGTTGAAATATGACATTTTATTCAACTAAAATTCAAATCCAGGACTATGAATTAAATTAGTAATTTTTTTGGTTTCTGTTTATATTTACATATATTATCTGTTACAACTAGTATTTTCTGAGAAAAAACTAATGTGAAGAAATACAGAAAAGTAATCCAAGTGTAAATACTGGTATGTGTATATAATTATCTTTTATGCTTTCATTGACCCAGTTAGTGATTGTATAACAAAACAATTTGAGTAATTTGTGGTATATTTATGTACTGGATTAATTTGTGTGGTTAATGATATTTGTAGGTTGGTTTATTACAGTGGTATTGAGCATTTTCAAATATTTTTTAGTTCATTGGCATTTGTTGTTAACTTGCACTTCTTAAGTATTAGAATGACTTCTAAGGTCTTGTCAGAAGTTTTCGTAGCAGTATTGGGTTTCATTTTATTCAAAAGAGTGATAAATTTTTGTTTAAAGCATTGTTTCTGGAACTTATGCTGAATTCCTAGTGTACAAGACATGAAGTTTTCTGGTAGGTTAAGTATAAAATATATGCTAAAGCTAATAATTTTAATTTTGAACAAGGATCACTGGTATAACTCTACACCCCCTTCTTCTCCCTCTAGGTACATTTTTAATTACTCAACAGTGTTGTTAAAAAAACAAGTATAGTACATACATGTACAAATACATGTATGAAAAAATATATTTTTTTTTGTATAAGATGTTTAATAATGATTACTGTTTTGTATAACAAATTTTTAAACTACAGGTGAATATTATATTTATTTCATATGGATTACCTATAAAATAATAGGGTTTTCAATCAGTCATAAACTAGTGGTTATGATGATTTCATCCGTGAATTATGCAAATTAGTACTATTGAAGGTTCTACCCTTTGTTAAATCCCTAAAGTTTGATGACATTTAGTCAACAAATATTATACAGGCTGAAAAGTTTTGCATGTAGTCTCCTCACAACCATTCATTATTTCATAAGCAAAATAATTCTAGGATTTTATTTAATATTGTACGTGTTAAAGATGGCATAGGTTTTGAAAATGGACAGTAGTGTTTATTCCTAGATCTAGGAACTTGGTTATAAGTGTATAGGAAATGCCACTAAATTATGCATTAATTTTTTTTTGTTTTTTGCAAAATTGTAAGAAATGTGATATGAAAATTATCACAATCATGCACAAAAATTACTTTTATCATTTACAGTTTTATGTTTATTGGTTGTTTAAACAAGAAATGACACTAAACCCTATTAATTATAGTATTTTGGCACTTGAGTGTATAGTTTAAATCATAAATAATATTCAATGTTAAACTGGTACACAGTTCAAAACATTTTATTTAGGCCTATCTATGGCCTTCAAAAAAGTTGACGACTCTACATGTTTTGACTCCTGAGGATGACATTGTAGAGTCTTCAACTTTTTGAAGGCC